TTAAAAACAATTTTTTATTCACGTAGTATTGTTTATTGATGCATATTACTTAAAATTTAAGATTACAAATAAATTATGCATAAGTACAACTTATTAAAGCTTCATACTTGAATTCGTCTAATTAACTGCAGATAAACATAATAAAATATTTGATAAATATCTCATTTTAAATATAAAAAATCTAAAATATAATTATGATAATCATTGATAACTAACAGAATTTAATTAAAGAAATTACACCAAAACACAAGAACTTTTAAAAAGATTAATTTAATACTGATATCGATATTTTTTTCAAAATTTTATGATATTTTTAAATTTATATTTTATTCAAAAATAAAAATATTACTACTTTCTCAAAACCATATAAAACAAATGCTTACATAAAATTCAAGATTATAAGTAAATTATGTAAAAGTACAACTTATCAAAGCTCGATTTTTGAATTCGTATAACTAACTGCGGATAATTATAATCAAATAGAGGGTAAACATCGTATTTTAAAATTTAAAAAATCTAAAATATAATTAGGATAATTATCGAGTTTTAATAAAATAATTAATTATTATCTTTATAAAAAAATTATATTATTAAAGCAAATATAAATTACTTCGTTATTGTACATGAAGTAAATTATAAAAAAATTGAATTAAAAAATTACACAAAAAATTAGGAATTTCAAATAATTAATTTGATACTAATATCGATATATTTTTGTCAAATTTTTATGATATCTTCAAACATATATTTTATTCAAAAATAAAAACATCATCGTTTTTTCAAAATCACATAAAACCATATTATAATATCAACTGAGATAAAGAATAAAATGAAATATTAAAATCACGATGTATCTTTTTGCATTGCGCGAATACGTTTCTAGTTTTAAGTACTATGTATTAATAAAGAGTGATTAATACATTAAAAAAATAGTGTTTAATATATAATAAAAAATGTTGAAGGAAAGAAGGAAGGAATGAAGGAGTAATCCAGTAAATCGAGAGAGCAACGTGGTGGTAGGGTGACCACTTGTCACCATCTCACAACAAAGCCATTAAACCAGCCGTCGATTATCGACTTTATAGAGACAGTATTTACAATTGCAGGGTCCCCCTTGTTGTAAGGAAATCATAAAGATAAGCGGGCCTGCTCTTGCCTAGGGTTTGCTTCCTGTTCCATTCATTTCTCTTTCTTCTCATCTCTTCCCTTCCCTTCCCATTCCATCTAATTTATATTCATTTTCAATCTAATTACTTTCCTCCATAATCATCACACCACTCTTCTTCATTTTCATTCTGGCTATTTCATTTCATCTATGGCCAACACCAATTTCCAATCGGAAGATGCTCAAATTCTATCAACCTCCGATCCACCGGTGTTAAAGGAAGAGCCCGCGGACAACGATTTGGAGGCTTCAATACCGGTTGCAATGGTTCCTATTTCAATGTCTCAGAAACAAATGCCGGTGGCGCCTCCCCGGAGGGCTACTAAAGACCGTCACACCAAGGTGGAGGGGCGTGGCCGGAGAATACGCATGCCGGCTGCGTGTGCTGCTAGAATCTTCCAGTTGACTCGGGAACTCGGTCACAAATCAGACGGTGAGACGATTCGGTGGTTGTTGGAGCACGCAGAGCCGGCGATCATTAAAGCCACCGGCACTGGGACGGTGCCGGCACTCGCTGTTAGTGTTAACGGGACGTTAAGAATCCCGACGACGCCAAACGAAGAGGAGGGTGATGTGAAAAGACGAAAAAGGGGTTGTAACAGCGAGTTTTATGACCTGAATGACTCTGCAACTTCCAATTTTGCCCCTATAGCGCCGATTGCCCCACGAGCAGTCGTGCCTTTGTGGACCATGTGTGCACCACCGACCACCGGGTTTCACGGCGGAACTATCTTCATGATTCCACCGTGTGGGGCCACCGGGCCAACTATATGCCACCAGCCCCAATTGTGGGCCATACCTACGGGTGCGACACCTGTTTTGGATGTCCCACAGAGACCCATATCCAATTATATTTCAGCAATGAAGCCGGTGGTGTGTATTGGTGGTAGCGCAGTTGATACGCCGGCGGTGAGTTCAGGTTCGATTTCAACGACGAGAAGAAGAGAGATGGTTAAGGATTTGTCATTGGAGATTGGTGAGAAAAGAGAGCTTCAATTCATGGAAGGTTGTTCAACAGATAAAACGCCGATGAAATAGTCAGATTAATCCTCTTACTTGGTTTTAGTGCGTTAGGACCACATAAGTTTTCTTTTTTAGACTTTAGTCCGTCTTTTTCTTTTTCATTTTTTTAGTCCTACTATGTGCTGTAAATTGATTCGAAAATAGATTTTTAGAACTTGGAAGAAAAAGGGATATAATTTATTATTGCATTTGCAATATTTTTTTTGGTTGACATCCAAGATATATAGATACCGAGTTGGATTCATGTAAGACCAGATTGTTTTGATTTTTCATGAAAAACATGAGATAACATTTTTACACTTGAAACTTCACAGGAAGTCGAAGTTTCACAACAAAAACATTGTGAAGGTAAAAAAATCCGAACATTCATAGAAAAAACATTGGGAAGGTTATCTTCACTTTGTTTTACTGTGAAGTTTCAGGTGTAAAAAGATGGTATTACGATTCTCATATGATCTCAAGTCTCTTTCTCTCTCTCTCTCTCTCTCTATATATATATATATATAAAGTTTATTTTGCAAACCACGTTATTTGTACAAACCGTACAAAGCTTATTCAACCAATCATAATTTATCATTTTGTTAATTTTTTTAATTACAAGAGGTTGATTAATTATTTTTTGTCAATGGTGTTAATCATAGATATTATCATCTTCATTATATTAATTTTAAAGAAATATATGAAACAGTTACATTAGAATTTCATTAAAAAAAGTATTATATGAAACAATTTCATGAAAAAATTCATAAGATCAAACAAAGAAATCGATAGATGAGGGTCGTTTGCACAGTTTGTACAAATATGGATGGTTTGCATTTGAATATATATATATATATATATATATATATATATATATATATATAGGGAAGGGTTCAAACGAGAACGCCTGTGATTTGCGAAAACGCGAGAACAATCTATTAACCTCATATTGTGATAACAATAAAAATTAAAAGAGTTTTTAAATTAAACTTGAAATTAAAACAATTCAAAAAAATTTGAGAGGCAAAAGGGTAATATTGGAATTCAAAATGATAAAATTTTAAAAACACGATCATACTAAACCCAATAATTTGGATAACATAATGGGCTATTATAGTTATCGCTTATTTCAACATGATTTGATGTGATTTGAGTGTGATATGGGTGTGATAATCATGTGATTATCACACAATTATGACAAGGATTCTGCTCGGCTAGGGTTAACTTAGGAAATCAACTACTGATTTGGTGTGATATAGGTGTTATAATCATATGATATCACTATCATAACAGCACACTCGATTCGAACATGGTTTCGATCTGTTAGGGTTAGACAATCACACATTTATCACAACAATTACTCATGGTTTCGATAGGTTATGGTTACACTCGATTGATCATGATTTTGATAGATTATGGTTACACAATCACACAATTATCACAAGGGAAAATAAGATAGTGGAAACAAAAGTGATCAATCTAGGAAAAAAATGGATAATTATAATTAATTAAAATAAAAATTATAAAAATTACTTAATTACATTACTGCTTTTATTAATTTATTTATATTTAATATAAGTTAATTTATTATTAAAAAAGTTTAAGGTTATTAGGTTGTTCTCGTATTCTCGTAAATCATAGGGGTTCTCGTTTGAACCTCTACACACACACACACACACACACACACATATATATATATATATATATATATAGGGATGTTATTCTACACTCTTTGTCATTCCTACACCCTATACAACCCTCATCTCAACCATTCAATTTTTAATCAATTAATTGTTTCCTAATATAAAGTATTAATCATAATTAATAAACTCTATTCATATTCCATAAATATTTAAATCATAATAAATGAACTCCAATCATTTCTATAAATATCTCAATTAATTGGGTTGCAAAGGTTGTACAAATACACAAAGTTGTAAAAGAAATATACGCTATATATATATTGGGTTCACTAGAGTCCAAGGATTTTTCGTGAGACCCGTAAGACCAATTTATGTCCATTGATCAACTTTATAAGCTAATGATATAATAGTCTAAAGTTGCACAGTAGAGCAGGTTTATGTAGCAAAACAGTAGAGGGAAATAGGAGTCGTGAGCAGAATTTCGTCAGAGAAGAATACAGTTTTCGTATGTAAATAATGATACGGCTTCACCCAGTATTTATACTGGGTGAAACCCTAGAAGAGGCCCACGATTATCTCCACAAAATCGGAGATGGTGGGGAGAAAAATTCTCAACCGAATTTTATCTCTAAAACCAAGTCAAAAACCGGATTAATTCCAAATTAAAATTAATAATTATCCAAATTAAACTGATAATCCTCCTGACGAATTTCTATTAAAAAGATACTCGTAGCTCGGGGCGAGGCTCCTTCTGCTCCGATACGAAGTGCGAAGTACAAAGTGCACCACCTTCGCGAATCCCGCGCCCTTGGCCTCGGTCACGGCCACGTGCCCGCGTGTGTGTTGGGCCTTCCACTAAAGACCCCCATCATGAGTCCACTAACATGTTCAAAGCCCACTACTAGAGAAAGCCTTATAAGTTTCTCTAGAAATCAACTCTCTACTAATGTGGGATGGTAGGTTAACTTCCAACCTACAAATTTCCAACAATCCCCCACCAGGTTGGAAAGTTTCGTGACATTCATGGTAGACAATGTTACAGCGGTGTCACTAAGATTAAACCTTGTTTAATGTAAGTATGCAAGAAGGGATCAATCCAATGGTATCCTTAGGATTTAAACCTTGAATCTTGCGACCACTACGGCTTACCTACACACATCATCTATCCACCTTGCTCTCTCACTGAGCGCTAATATGGCCATGCGCTAAACCCTGTTTCATGACTTACTCAAAGAGAAACCACTACTCTTCTTTTGAGGCGGCACCACCTCTAAGTCATATAGGCAAATATCTATAACATCTTCGTTGTTAAGATGCCTCTAAACTTTGTTAAGAGATTAACTCATCCTTGTTCTCTACAACGCCGTACTATCATTCACCTTACATGGATCTATCATTTGATAGTACCTTCTATCAGTCAAGTGACTTGTTGTTACCCTTTAAACTTGGTAGATAGGAGCACTATATCCAAGTTGGGTTTCCATCACTGACTGATTCTATGTGGCTTCAGACCCATGTCTCTGATGGTTGACCCTACCAAGTCTCTCGTCAGAGGCTTGGTTAGTGGATCTGCCAAGTTCCCACAAGACTTGACAAACACAATACTTATGGTACCATCATCAATTAGTTGTCTCACGTAGTTGTGTCGGAGACCTATGTGTCGCGACTTCCCATTATATACAACATTGTATACTTTGGACAATGTGAGCTCACTGTCACAATACATGGGAATAGAGGGAGTCGGTCAAGGTCATAAATGGATATTTGTCAACAAATCTCTAATCCATTCGGCCTCTTTGCCCGCTGCCACTAGGGTAATAAATTCGGCTTCCATAGTCGAATGAGCGATACACGTTTGTTTCTTGCTCGCCCAAGAAATTGCCCCTCCAGCAAGAGTATAGATCCACCCACTTGTGGATTTAGATCACTTGAGTGATCTATCCAACTGGTGTCAGAATATCCCTCCAAAATTCCTGGATGCGTAGAGTATGTCAACTCTAGTTCTTGGGTTCTTTTCAAGTAGCCCAATACTCTACCAATTGCTTTCCAGTGATCTGAACCCGGATTGCTCGTATATTGACTCAATCTACACACAGCAAAAGCAATATCCGGTCTAGTGCAATGCATTGCATACATCATGCATCCTATTGCACTAGCATATTCTAGTTGAGCCACTGCTCTACCAGTATTTTTATTGAGTTTCACACTTGAATCAAATGAAGTGTTAAACTCTTTTATATTCAAATGTTGAAACTTTGTCAGTATCTTCTCTATGTAATGAGATTGACATAGAGAGATTTGAGATGCTGACCTTTTGATCTTTATTCCAAGGATGGTATCTACTTCTCCAAGATCTTTCATCTTAAAGTTCGAAGATAAGTACCCTTTTGTCTCAAGAATACCATCTAGATTGGTTCCGATGATCAACATATCATCGACATAAAGACAGATTACCACAGTGTACCCTCTCATGCATTTTGAGTAGATGCACCGGTCGGCCCCATTATGTTGAAACCCGAAAGATGTGATAGTCGTATCAAATCTTTCGTGCCACTGTTTAGGAGCTTGTTTTAACCTGTATAGAGATTTAATAAGTTTACACACTTTATTCTCTTGTCCGGGTATTACAAATCCTTCAGGTTGCTCCATGTAAACCTCCTCGTTTAAATAGCCATTCAAGAAAGTTGTTTTCACGTCCATTTGGTGAATATACAGTCGTTTTATGGCGGAAATTGCTATGAGAGTTCGAATAGAACTAATTCTAGCAACTAGAGCATAGACGTCGAAATAATCGACACCCTCTTTTTGTCTATATCTTTTTGCCACCAATCTAGCCTTGAAGGATGATATTGAACCATCAGGGTGCATCTTTCTTTTGAACATCCACTTGGAACCAATGGGTTTTACCCCTGTTGGCAAATTTGCCAGCACCGAAGTTCCATTACCCAAAATGGAGTCCATCTCATCATTTATGGCTTCTTTCCATATTTGAGCATCCCTTAAAGTTATGGCCTCTTTAAATGTTTTGGGGTTCTCTTCAGTACTGATAGAGAAAATGAAATCTCTTATCACTTTATTTTGAGTCTCCTCTACCGAGTACGAGAAAAAGTCATGTAACACCACAATAAAGCGGAAGCTAATTTCACCAGGTAATATTAGATTCAATATACAACTCTAAAACAAAACGGGATACAAAGTTATTCACCAAAAGAGATAAGTATCGTTGATGAAGGGACGTATAACTACCCTTACATACTATATATATAACAAGTACATAAACAAAAAAAAACCCAAAATACGAGCTTTAAATATCAACCTACTTCTTTGAGCTCGACAATACTACATCAGACCTTTACTCCTTTCTATCCTTCATGTAAAAGAAAATCAACATCTAAGAGGTTAAGCAAAAAGCTTAGTGAATTCATAGGGAAACATTTGAATATTATGATATATACATACACATACACAAAGGAATCACATGAACGAACTCAAGTAACATATATGTGTATACAAAGGCTTTCCGAATCAATAAACTCATGAATCAATATTCTTCAAGGCAACAAAAACTGATTATGGCAATTTCAACATTTCGTATGTCGAAGA